CTATATATATATATATATATATATATATATATATATATATATATATATATATATATATATATATATATATATATATACGTAATAAACCTGTGGAAGTCCTCTTTTTTTCGCACGAGGAGAAACTTTCGCAGCATCAGCCTGAAGCATCCGTCCATATTCCTCACAGTGTTCTTTATCTTCTGCCCATGAATAACCTTCACGAAGAGTCCAATCCATACCCATTTCAAGACATTCCTAAACTGGAAATTTTCTTCTGAGATGAAAAAAATCAATTGGAAGTACTTTTTCAAGGGAAATACTTGGATTTCAACATGCCTCGAACTGCAGAGCTCCTATCGGAATGATACCCTTTGAACCAACACCCACAGGAATATGATCAAATAACGATTGAGCGAGCTGTTCTTTTAATGGCTGAACATCTTTCTCAGATAAGTTTGTTCGAATTAAACGGACACCACAGTTAATATCAAAACCAACGCCACCTAAAAAAAATGATAGCGCTAATTAATCAATTCACATTTTACTGTTTTGATTAAGGCATCATTTCTTACATACTCGATTGTTCGTTTTTTTCCGAAATCGTACGTCTTATTCAGTTTCTTTTAAACAATCATTAATGCAGTTTACTGCTATACCATTTCACTTTTTATTGCTAAAACCACTTTACTGCTAAAATTTAGAATCATTTTTTCTTTCACCAGTACATGCTTTCGATCTGAGTAATGTCATTCGATTAGGACGTCTCGTAGCTTGATAGGAAGTAATCTCAAACAGAGTAAATAGAGTGGAATGTGCCTAGCAAAATAATATCTGGAACGCATCTTGTTTGAGCATAACAAGGAATGCTCAAATAACTCAAAACAGAAAAGGAATTACAATTCAACGCACTCTGTTGGGAATTGCAAGATAAAAGGTAGCAAATCTGTTCTATGCACCTTTTAACTTATACAGCGCCACCATGGCGGAAAAAGAAGAGCAGAGAGAAAAAGTAGTAGAGAAAGCACCAGTAGTGAGAAATGATTTCGTAATAGAAATGAAAATTAAATATAAAATCCATAGCTTAAACATCGATTAAAAGAAGCTTGAACACTTACACAATCTAAAAATTGACAAAAACAAAAAAAAACCTGGGGATACGACAGCTTCCGGATCAGAAACATCGAATGCAGCAATATTCCCTATAGCAAAGCCGTAACCGGAATGTATGTCCGGCAGACCAACAGACGCCTGAAACTCATTGACTGTATAAATTCATTCAATAAAAATAACATACTAGCTTATTATGAAAAATAAATTTAAAAGGCAGTAAACACAATTATATTCGTATTTCTGCTTACATTAACAATAGCTGGCAGTGCCGCGACATTTCCAACTTGGCGTACGGCGGGTAAGAATCCGCCGATACCATCCGACCTACATGAATTCCTCAATTCTTCAAACATCAATTTTTCTAAAGCTCTGTTGACATAAAAGCGTCCCTCTACCTACAAAAAAATTGCTAAACTTGTAATCGTGACCTTGTCGACTTTTAAATTAAGAAATTAAAACAAAACAAATAGGCTCTGAAGCTTGAAAAATAGAAAGAATTTGCAAGCAATGTGAAATTGGAATTAGTGGATTACTTGCTTAATAGCAAACGACCCAACAAATACAGTACTGCATATCAATGTCCTAAGTCGAAGATTGTACACAAGCTTGTTAATTTACATTCATATTTGGAACGAATCCCTTTTTGATTCTGTACATAACATCTGTAACGCGTTCAATATAGCTGCATTCCTCATCATACGTTCGTGGCATTCCTGTATTTAATCCTAATTAAGTATGACGGTAATAAAGCTTCCACACATACAAATGATTTGTGTAAATTTACGTCTGATTTCAATTCATGCCTAAACCAATTCACTCTAATTCCATCCGGCCTAATTTGGATGAATGGAACGCTTACCAGCTAGTTACCACCACCATACTTTTCTGCCATTCATTGAAATGTCATTCATTTCTGGCACTCATTAAAAGACCAACGAATTTTTACAATGCTAGTACCCACTCCATTCAACCTATCCGAAACATTAGCGGCATTTGACCAATACTACTTAATCTTATCACACAAGGCAATACTTTCAATAAAACTCTTGATCAACAAATGCCATCGTCCCAACAGATGCCACACTGTAAAAGCCTGAACTGCATTCCCCTGTCTCCCGTGTCACTAATAAGACGGTTTTCCCCAACTTACTCTAGCACTTGCCAATCTACTATATCTCTTCCTCTCTTCCGCTAACAGTGCGATCGGGCCACAAACGACGCACAAAAGCTCCGAATTCGCAGCATAGCGAAATGACGAAGTGTCCCATCCGTTATGTAGATGAAAAAAGCGGTAGGAAGTTGATTTATTACCGTTTATTACCATTATTACGTTTATTGCATTTATTACCGGGATTTCAGTGGGAGTTATGCTAAATAGCTAGTCAAAACCTAGGAAGAACAAAAAGAATGCCAGCATCTCAAATTAGTAACAGAGTTTGCAACTAATAGCCAGATATGAGAGTGGTCATTATGGAAAAGTTTCGGAGCATTTGCACAAGAAGCAGTCCCTATCACTAGATTAAGGATATCAAGAATGAATCTCTATCACTAGATTAAGGATATCAAGAATGAACGTAACAGATTGAAAAACGGCGAAGCCGAACAGACATGTACCGAATAGTGCAAGAAGCATGTAACGCACGATACTTCGTTCATTTTTCCTCACATTTATCTGAACCATGCCGTAAAATTAGTGATAATATAGATCTTTCTGTATGCATATACAGTGAGCTAGGAAATGTGGACAGTCTCACATTTATTGCTCTTTTCTTCATTTTATTCTCCTTTACAATTTTCCAAGTTTTATTTACAACTTTCATTTAGTGCAAGGCTCTCATAACCAGTGTCCTGACGAATCAATAAGGGGAAAAAGCCAATTCATTTCTATATTTTATAGTATTTTTTTCATGCACGACTAGCACATGCAAACGTTCAGTCTTATTGCTCTGCTGATTCATTTTCCAATAATTCCATTTGCTTTTCGTGTATTGCATCACGGATCACCTTTTGCAATTTTATATACTCCAGTCGATTCATGCTGCCTATCTCACGTAGTGGGTAGATCAACGAATTACCTGAAGCATGACTAAACTGAGCTTGATGGTGAATCAATGTAACAACAGTCCATCATCAATTCCCTTCCATTTTGCTTCCTCTAGTGGCTAAGTATCTGTATTTCACACTAGTAATTAGTGACTAAGATGACTTTACTCATGCTTTGTATTAAACAATTTCAAAATGAAGACAGAAAAAACGTATCTTAAAAGTATGGCACAATCCAGGAAGTGATGTTCAATTTTCGCAAAGGTATTAGTGTTCAATTTTTTTTTTTTTTTTTTGTCCTCTGGTAATTTAGAGTTACACGCCTGAGGAAATTAGTGAAGCAATTCTGTAGCTTTCTCAAACAATTTAACTAGGAAATTTAGGCAAAAAGATGAAGGAAAGCTGTTTTCTTGATATAACTTACAAAAGGCAGAATATTCATCTTCTGTAGCGAGTACTGTCGATTCAGCTGACTCTCCGTCAATGGTGTTCGAAGCTGAAATCACGGCCTTTCTTATCCTGCATCGTCCATCAACAAAGTGTCTCCCGGAGGCAATAGCTGTTAAATTTCCGTCAGCATTTCTCTTCCCAAGAAAGGGTTCCTGATGAACAACTGCTGCATCTATTTCATCATATACTGAAGTATTTGCTTCTGAGTAAGAACCACTGCCATTACTGAGCCGATCAAGAAACATCATAGCCGAAAAATATTTCCAGCGTGGTTGTACCAGTTTCCCAGAAGCATCTATTTTTACTTTCTTCCGAAGTTTGAAGTAAGAATCTTTCAAATTTTTCCACTGTTTCTCAATATCGTGACCTGAATATAGAAATAAAAGATGGACATCATATATTGAGAACAAGGCGACCAGTCAAATTAAAAATTTCATCACTATCGTATAGTAGTTAAGACATCGAAAACCCAAGTGTTTTAAGCTGGTTTTATACAGAAATTATCATGAGTCCCATAAGCAGTAGTTCCAATTTTCTATCCATGACTTCCACTCTTTTCTGAATTACTTTTTCTCGAAACTCTCTTTCTTTTGTCCATAATGAATGATTGATTATAAATTATTCTAATCATTCTTATTTTAAAGTTGTTTGATATGAAACCACCAACACTGACTTTCTTCTGATATTGTTTACAAATTTGCTGACCCAGCAAATCATGAATTCGTTTATTTTATATAAAAAAGCAAATGTGCTTTTCGTGAAAAGTTCAGATGTTGAAGATGCTTACAAGAAAGCAAGTTTTCGTCGGTACTAAGAAGTGCAGCAATTTCGATGAAATGATCTTTTCGCTGGCCCAAATTTCTCAGTTCTCGACCGTGATCCCAAATTGCAGGCCGAAGATAAACGGCATCAATGATCGAAAATCTTAGTTCATCATTTATCTTGCCAATTGTTTGTCGACTATCATGATGATGTGGAACATGACGCTCATGTTCCACCCCCATTTCCATTTCATTGCTTTTATCAACAGGAATCTGTAAATTATTCTCTTTTAGATAACTGAACGACGATAACGAGAGTTCCACATCCTTTTGTAGGACTTCCACCTTTCCTTCAAAATCTCTCACTACCTCATTAGTATGCACTCATATTCTGCACACTAAGAATTCGTCAATTTTACATCATCGTTTGCTTTGTGATTATAAATCCCTAATTTTTACAAAAAAAAAGCCATAACTCTAAAGTAGTTTGAAGCTGTTCTAATGTCCTATATATAACTATATATGTAACTTAAAAATGGAATAAAATATCGTTTTCCTGTAGCCTTATTGCACAGATTAACAGTATAGAACGCAAAAAGCAGGAAATAACCAAAAGTACCAATTCATAATTTAGTAAATCTACAACAAAAGTAAAACTACAGAGAATTTAACTGGAAACAAATAAAGTAGGGGAATAAAAAACACAGGTGAAATTAAGGTTAAACAAGAAAGTGTTGTAGCATTCAATCCAAAGTTATTCCTGCAAATTTGAAAAATCGAGAAATTCTTTAAATTATTTCGCAAAATCACAAACCTCCACAAAAACGCTTTCATGTTCATCGGGCAGCATATTGTCAACATACGTAGCGCTTGCTGCAGCCGTGGAAGCATCTACAGTATGTATTGCATCCGTAATACTAGCACTTCGCATCACCATCACCTCGCCCTGTCCACCACGACAAAAAACGGAGAAATCGATTTTCACGATATCTAGATGTCTTAGTGTTCAATAGTTTCTTCTCCGAAACAGCTGTAGACACATCTTATTATACATATAAACAACAGAATAAAGCTTGCGCATCTCCTCGTTGCATATACTTCCTCACCACCATATTAGTCCTACTTTTTTTACACTAAATTCTCGGTTGGGATGATAGCTATTGACATCCCGATGCATAAAAACCAATTCACCTAAAATATTCCCATTCCAATTTGGTTCTTGGAAGAACTTAAAACTTGTTGAAGCAATGCGAACCTAATCAGCCATTCGATATCACTTGATACATTCTATAATGGAATTTTCATGTACTATGCAACATTCTTGCACCACAGCAATAATAACAATATTTAGATTTTGAGTTCAAAACATACTGATCAATAACCAAGAATTATTTCTCCTATTCAATTTTTTATTTATCATTTGATAAAAAAAAAATTACTAACTGATGATAAAGGTCACCACAGCAATAACAAGAAGCCGTAAACTGCTTCGAAGCAAATTTAAGATTCTAATGAAGCAGAAGAAGCAATGGAAATTTCTTATTCTGCAAGTGAACTATGACTTCTAGAGCTGGTAACAAAGTCTGTTAAAAACAGTTAAATATTTGTATGGAGACCACGGACAATCATATTTGATAAAAAATTTGATGCTACCTTGATGAATGCAATGATAAATGAGAGGCTTTTGTAAATTTAGAGACGTTTCAGATTCATTTTCTCTCTATTCTTTATCACGCATTTCTATTTTTAATCCTCTAATTTTTTATTAATCAAATCAAATTGACCAGATATTTCCAGAAGCAGTAGAAAGCCTGATGAGTGAAACCCAAAGAATAATTTTTAAATTTTTATATGGAGTGTCAACCGGAAATTCAGTTCACTGACATTTCACAGCTTTCTGATGTACTTCTGTGAAACATGGTATTAACAAGACGTCTCAAATTTACAAACCGATCATATTTTGCATTAAACATCACTTGCATTGTCAATTATAGTACCGCTACTTGCACTACCGTGAAGAAAATGGAGATTTCGAAAAATCATTCCTAGCATTCGTTTTTTGGAGCAGTTCATTTTCGGCTATCGATTTTGAGCACCGATCGCAGTACTCTTCCTCTTTAAGTCTGACATTCCTTCTGCAACGTCTACACAATTCTCGTCCGCAAGCCACCGAATGAATTATGACTTTCTCGCTGGTATTATCACATTCTATTCGAACCATAGAAACACCAAGAATTTCCACTAGTTGAGAATGATAAGAACATGATTCTGCTTGTAGTGGGTACAGTTTCTGGAGGCTAACATCAGGACCTCTTACCAAAACTCCCTAAAAACAAGCAGAATTAAATGAAACGTAATTAATAATATAAACATAAAAGTTTACTCAACCCGATAGTCCTCCTTTATCTTTGTATTTCACATAAACAGATATATAGAGCATTTTACTCACTAGCTGATTTATTTACAGATCGGTGAAGGTTTATGAACAGCGTACCAATCTAGATAAATCACTTTGTCCATACTGTTCTAACATTTTAGATCGAATACTAAGAGCAGGATCCACGACGGAATACAATTCGGTCATATTTGGGTCATTTGGGCAGTAAAATTGATTGCATTCTCTGGAAATGAAAGCAGTCTTTCAAGAAACAAGACTAATAAAGTTTGACCTCAAGCAAAATGTTTTCAATCAAGATCTCAATCCCAAACTGAAAAGATACCGCCGGAGAAGAGTATGCAAATAATCGGATTCTAAATGATTTTTTTTTTTTTTTTTTTACCTTCAGAGCAACAGCAGAATCCTCAACGCTTGGATGATACATGAAAAACTCCGTCACCAAATGAGGCAATATTGGAGCAAGAAGTGCTGCTAAGTTCAATCCAATCTTTGCTAATGTTGCCTGGGCACTCTGTCTTTCAGCAAGCATTCCACAGTACAGCCTATTTTTCACACCACTCTGAAATCCAAATATCGTAAGAAATCAATTTTTCTTAATTTAAAACTTGATAAAGTGTAATAGGCCACACTAAATGTAAAGGGAGATTCGGTGGCAATTAACCATTACATAAAATCAAGAGAATCATTCAATTACTATTAAAATTTGTGTCATTCAGGAGGTTCTCGCTGTGCAATTCACAATGGGGAGAGCTCTTGCAATTAATGCTAAAAAAAAGTGCTATATTTACTTAGCTGGATGATTGTAATCCAAACAAGGACAAAAACTTACAATATAAGGTGAATTGAGCGGATGCTGCAAGAATTGCATATATTCGTTAATCATTAAGGAAAAACGATATTCGTTCCAGTTTTTGAGACATCGTTGTGTAAATTTTGCTAATTCTTGCAGAATGTACTAGAAAAAATTCTCTGTAAATAATTTGTTCAGATAAATGATAAACGTGGCAAAATAATCGTTAACCCTGTTAAACAGTGATAAACTATTTAAATGCATGAAAAACAAAGTAGTCCTCTGAAAACCGATTGATGTACAGTATGATAAGGAATAAGAATAAAGTGACATAAGTAGTTTTTTCCTCCCTGATCTGTTAATTTTAGTTTAATTATAAATTCGTCCGTACCATAAAAAATTTCTTTCAAGCGCTATGCATACTCACCCTATCATTATAAAATTTTTCATCACAGGAGATGGTTCCTTTGTAATCGTGGATTGCACCAAGCAGGAACCAGAATGAAGCACGTAATTGTGCATAATTCCGCCTAACTTCGTCCATTACTGAAGAGCCAATTCGTGCTTTGTCGCCTTTGCATCCATACTGTGCTACCCAAAGACGAAGACCATCAGCGCCATGAGGTTCCTCTTTCAATGATCCATCTGTAATCTGCTCAAGAAGTCACACAAATAACTGACTTCAGAAATTCCAGTTCAAATTCTAGTTAGCCCAGTAATTCCTAATCAAATTTTCACCTTTAAATTTCTCGACGAAAAGATGCAATTAGAAACTGAAAAATGAAAAATGGAATGTCTTCCATAAACACTGAACTGCATTACAAAAAATGGCGAAACAGACAAAACTGCACTGTGTAACCCATATTTGATAAATCTCTATGGAGTAATCTGTGAGAATGTACAGGTATTTAAAGATGAATTTAGTCCTTCCCTAGGTATTTATTTCACAGATTTGTTTTCTTTAATGAAAAGTAAACCAGTTCAGGTCTGACTACGTTTCCTACTGATTTGGACATCTTTTGTTCGTTTTCATCCACTGCAAAAGCATGGACATAGATATACTTGTATGGTAATTCATCCTGAAATAGCAGTGGCCAATAAAAAAAGATGATAAGCCAAGACGTTCAAATAAACTACTTACAAGATTTTTAATCTCGAAAAGGTTCAACTGATTTGATAAAAGTAATAAAAATAAACTAACATACATAATAATGGTGCTGCACTTTGATATTCGCAAATGCATTTCTGCTTAACTAGCTTTGATACCAGCCTGCTAATTTGACTGGGGCAAATGAATTACTTGAAACACAAGACATTGTTATTTTTCGGTTTACTTCAAGTTTACTTCGTTGAGATTTATAACCAACATTCAAAGCAAATGAAGTTAACGAAAGCGACTGGAACCAGCCTCGAAACTGGTCAACGCCTTCCAGAATCAGATCGACAGGTTCCATTCTTTCGCGTGTCGATGCCCACGCAACTCCGCTATCCACCCACACATCTAATATGTCGCATGATTTTTCCAGTTCTTCTCCCACTCTAATTCCATATTTATTCATTAACTGTAATACTTGAATGAATTTAGGGATGTAAGTTTCGGATAAATTGCGGTTTATGGTATTTTATCTACATCCTCCGGTATAAATTCTCCACAGACACACCCTTGTCACAGGGAAAAGCTTGCGATCTTATGAGGTATG